TACAGGAACATACCTGGAGCAACCCATCACCCCATGAACCAACACAGAGGAGACGAGAGTCAGGATACAGGTAGATGATACAGATATAATTAAATTGCCTATTTGCTATTGAATGTTTGATAGTGCCCAAAAAATAGCAGTAAAAAAAATCCTCTGACAGAGTCAAACAGTAATATCCCAACCATTTTTTGGGGGGTGTTACCCAACCTGCTGCCTCTGAGTGCAGCTCTGAGCATCCCCATGGATCCCAGAGTCCATATGGCTGGACCTCATGGGCACCTGGAGGGGGGGAGGACAGCTAAAACCTTCCCCTGCACAGGCAGGGATGTCCCCAGTGAAGTTCTGCTACTCAAAGGTTGATGAGAAAAGGTGGAAAAGGGGATGGAGAGGTGATCCAAACCCTGGAGATGAAGCTGTGTCAGGCTGCTCTTACAACTGGGCAGAAATAAAACCCTGTTTGATGAGCGAGGCTGTTTGATTGAAGCCAGAAGTTTGCACATAAAATGATGGATTGTGAGGAATTTCAGAACTCTAAAAAGGCAAGAAAAAAATGTTTAATGTGCTAAAAGGGAGAATGTAGGCAATTACAGAGAAGCCTTTTCTTCTATGATTTAAGAAAAATGAATTTAAAAAAATATTGAGACGCTGCATCTTGATTGACCTGATAGCATCTCTCCCCACCAAATCCTTCATTTCAGTCTGCAGAAGTCATCAGAACAACCCTCTGATTCTCACATATCCATGGGACAGTACAAGCCTTTTCCCCTGCAGAACTACGAAGAAACTCATCTCGGCGTCTTCCTTCCAGCTCCAGCAGTTTATTGGCTCCCTCTCCAGTCGTGGAACACACAAACCCTGGAGCCTCTGACCTTGCCTGGTGATGCCTTTAATCCCAGTATTTTACCCAAGGCCACCTTCAAACCGAACCATGGGGTTTTTTTGATTGAAAAAACGTGCTTTCTACCTTGCTCTGCAGAGCTGCCCTTTGATTTTCAAGCTCTTGAACACAGTTGTATTGGGGCTCCCTGAGCTGGGCCAAGGTGGGGAAATGATTTAATTGTCAAAGCAAGCACAGGCTCGTTGTCTGGCAGGGTGCCGGCACAGGCTTCAGCGCATTAGCAGGGCTGCACAGATTAGGTTTTGCTTTTGACATTGGTCCCTTGGCTTTTGTCCTTTGGGTGGCATTGTTTGCACGGGAAGGAAGCAGGAGGCAAACTGTGAGGAGGCCAAGATGGAGGGAGATGTCCTTTAGGTAGCAAATTCCACTCTGTGTGTCCCCAGCGATGCGGCACCAAGATACCAAAGCCAGTGTGGGGATGTCTCAGAGAAGGATCCCCGCCTGAGCTGGCTGCAGGGGAGGAGGGCTGAGCTTCAACCCATGCTCAGAGTTCCTCTGAGTGTCAGCAGGAAATTAAGGTGAATTGGTTGGAGCTTGGTGTGTGCTGGCCGAGGTGAGCAGCAGTGGTGGGGTTTTCATGTGGCTTTAACACAGAGATTTCTTCTGAATCTTATTTTTCTCCAATTTTTGCATGGGCTGCTCTGCTATTTCTTCTCTGTATCTCTTTAGGATATAAATGGAGTTTCATTTCAGGTGAAAGGCCGTCAGTGTTCATGTCAAGCTTTAGAAAGAACCTCTACCCTCTCTCTCCTCCTGCCTTATGTCCCTGCCACAGTGGCGTCCCAAACTTTTTCTCATAGCCACCTAAAGCTAGGAAATACAACTCAAATTTGTGACTCAGAACATACGTATATCTCAAAGCACAGCAGATACCACAAATAACTCTGAGAGTTTTCAGGACTGTGTGGATGTTTGTGTCAACCCCTTGGTAAGGATGGCTGTACAGCACCGTATCTCACCTACTTTTTTGTTATGTGTTATATATCTTATGTTAAGTATTAATTTATATGTATGATATACATTTTATACACACAGATGTGGATCAACTTCATCTGGGGGCCCCCAGTGATCCAGAGTTGTTACTGGCAGAAGATGGAGGGAACCCTGTTGTGGGAAGTTCAGTTCCACACACAAGGGTCAGTGGTGCGTTGTACTTGCAGATTTGGGGTTGTAAGAAGAATCCCAGCTTTCTGGAAACCCAAGGCTAATGATGAGTCTTAAATTCACATGACTGGTGGAAAGAATAGCCCAGTAGGAACTTCCCCCACTAGAAGAGAATTCCACATAATTAGCCCATCTCCTATTCAGGCAAAAATCCTATGGGAAAAGGTTGGCTTTTGGCCTGAATAAAAAATGGTAAAATCCGTACTGAGAAAAATGATGGTTGTCATATAATGGTGTGTCTGCAGTGACATACCCATGCAAATACTGTACTTCCTTCTGGCTTAATTAGTGCCATGTGTTAAAGAGATAAATTTTCTCTCTCTACGTTAAGCAAAAAGTTCTCCTATCAGGCTCTCAAAGCCCAAGTATTTGTCTGAATGATAAAGACCATATTTTTGCACAAATTCAGCTGTTTAAAATGCAATACTTACAGGATGGAGCACTGTTTTGGTTGAACTGTACAGCACAGAGCAGAATAACACAGATTTTGATTGAGATTCCCATGGCTTCACGTAATTATTATTTTAGATTTGGGGGGAAGCGTTCCTCAAATAAAAATGATCAGGGATCAGGTAAATTCTGTCTTTTCCCTGTGGAAGTCTCACTTGTCCCTATCACGTATCTCAAGACTTATATTCCAGGATTTCTACAGGATACATGCATAGAAAATTTCCACATCAAGCTATCCTCTGAGCTAAAACATGTCTTCCTGAAAGATGTCTGAGTGTTCGTTTACAGCCTTCAGGTGATGGAGAATCCATCAGGTACCCAGGTACTTTCTCCTACTACATCATTACCTTCACTCACACACCATATCTGTAGCTTGAAGTTGTGCAGGATCCAAAGCTGCTCCTGGCATGTCACCAGTCCTAATTCTGCTGAATAAGGGAGCCCCTTCCACCAGATATCACATATCCCTCCACCAAGCAGATCAAGTTGCCCCTTAACATCTTAAAGAATGGATCCAGACTGAGCATCTCTAGTCTCTTACCACAAAGCCCGGCTTCTGGAGCTAACATAATTCTTGTCACTGGTCCTCTGAGAAGGGCTTTGCTAATGCTGTACATGAAAATAATACAACCTTTCTTCTTCTGCTTGATATTCCCCTCCTTGTATCTGCAAGGATCGCATTTGCTGCTTTATTTCCAGCACCACACAGAGTTTGCATTCAGTGGGCTGTGTACAATCCCTCCTCAGTCCCCGACACCATTGCTGTTTGGCAGAAGACATTTGCCTGTTGTTTATATTGGATGTGCGTTCTTCCTCGCTGGACATATGACTTTGCATTTGACTTCGCTGTTTGAACAAGCCCTTTTTACCAAACACCCCGAGTCAGGCAGCACAACTGTCTCATTACCAGCATGAATTGCTATTCTGACCTCTTTGGGGTCATTGGCGCTTTTTAGCGGCAGGGATTATATATTTTCTTTCACATCTTTGATAAACATATTCAACAGTACTGAGCAAAAAAAAAAAAAAAAAAAATCTCATTTTGAGTCTATAAGAACACCCGCTGCACACTAATATCTCACCAATCTTTATTTTCTAAAATATCTTCTTACTGGTTTTTAGTCCACTGAATATGGGCTGTGTTTATATTTTCAGTATTACTTAATCAAAATAGGGCTAAATGTGAATTATAGAAATCTGTTTCATCAGTGGTTGCTTCTATCAACCATGTCCCTGTAATTTCATGTAATTATTATTTTTATTTTTAAATAGTTCCTCTTGATCCTTGTTAGCAATTTCTTTTAGCTTAAGCAATAGGATTTTTTTGAAATTTCAGGTATGTTGTTGCCCAGGACTACATTTTTCTGGCACTTATGAAATGGAATAGCAATGTGATCATTTGCATCTAGAAAGCCATAATTTTCTAGTCTGCTGCCCAACTCGTTATGGTCTACAAAAACAAGGTCTGACGTAGAAATACCCCAAGCTGATTTAAATTATTTTTGCACTTAAAAACTTCTGTACAGCTTTTAGAAACCCCAGGGATGCTTCTCCAGCAGTATCACAAGACCTTCGGCATCTGCTCCCCAGCCTCAAATCTCCTATCAGACATAAAGGATGGATCCTGCCTCTGCACTCCAAGAAGGGATATTAGAGGAGCTGATCTTTCTATTCTCCTTTTTTCAGTGATCTGCAGTGGACACCTCATCCTCTCAGGACTCCTCCCCACCCCAAGTGAGTTGCTGTTTTCATAAGGGATCTTCAGGCATTTCGAGCTTTACCCAAACCGTCAGTATTTATGGCATGTCAGACTGCCTTTGATGGAGATTGCCCTCCCTCCCTTTCTCTCTCCCTCCCTCCTTCCCTCTTGTCTTGCCTGAGCAGGCTGTAGCAGTGATTTTAGCATCCCCATCATCTGTATCATAGCATGGATGCTTGGTAATATCCGTCATCTCACAGGAACATTTCCCATTCCTCAGACCTGGTATCAATCCAAACATCGGGTACTCTAGTATCTTGATTAACTGCCTGTATTTTTGTTGACTTCTGTGCCTGGCTGTGGCTGCCTGGCTCTCTCTCCTCCCTGGCCAGAGGAGATGGAAGCGCTGCAGCGGCCGCAGGCTCGCAGACCCCGGGGCTGAGCGGCAGCGGACGAACAGGGCCAGGACCGACGCCGGGGGACTGCGGGGCGTGAGCGTGAGAAGGGGAGTCCAGAGGGGACAACCCCGCTGTCCGAAGGGGACAGCCCCCAGGGACGAGGGCCAGGTCGGGGAGGCCCGGGCGGTCCCCGCTCGCGGCGCGTTCAGCACCACCGGCCGCGGACAGCGCCCGGCCCCGCCGCGGCCCCCGGAGCGGGGCCGCACCCTGAGCACACCCCGAGCACACCCCGAGCACACCCCGAGCACACCCCGACCCCCCTCCAGCCCCCCCATCCCCACCGCGGGGTGCAGCCCCTCGCCTCCCCCGCCCCGCCGCCGCGGGCACTGACCGAACATCTGGATGTGGCCCTTGGTGATGGGGTTGAAGCTGCCGCAGGCCAGCAGGATAACGTGGGTCTTGGTGGTCTCGGTCATGGTGCGGCCCTGCCCGGCCCCGCCGCGGTCTGTGGCTCGGTGCGGCTGCGGGAAGGAGGAGGGCGGAGGGATGGAGCGGGGCCGGGCGGGAGCGGGGGCGGCGCCGCGGCTGCGGGAGCGGGGACGGGGCCGCCCCTCGCCAGGCACGGCCCGGGGCGCGCCCCCCGCGGGGTCCTGCGCACACGGGTGGGCGAGTAAACACACGTATGTGCGTGTGCACACATGTGCGCACCCCCGCGGGCACACATCCAGCCCCGAGGGCGCAGACAGGGGCACCCGCCCTGGCACAGATGTGCCAACGCTCACATCCACATGTGGGCACACATCCACATGTGGGCACACATCCACGTATGGGCACACATCCACGTATGGGCACACATCCACATCCCCTGTCTACGCGGGCACAGACGTGGGCACACACGCGCACACATGTGCACACACACACACATAGAGAGGCAGCAGTGACACACTGGCATCCTCAGGACTGAGACGTAACAGGAGGCTTAACCTGGAGAAGAGGCTCAGGAGTGACCTTGTTGCTCTCTATAGCTCCCCGAAAGGAGGCTGCAGCCAGGTGGGGGCCGGGCTCTGCTCACAGGAAACCAGCAATAGCACAAGAGGACATCGTCTTAAGCTGCAACAGGGGAGGTTTAGGTTGGACATCAGGAAAAATTTCTTCACGGAAAAGGTGATTAGACATTGGAATGAGCTGCCCAGGGAGGTGGTGGAGTCATTGTCCCTGCAGGTGTTTAAGGAAAGAATTAATGTGGCACTCAGTGCTCTGTTCTAGTGACAAGGTGGTGATTGGTCACAAGTTGGACTCGATGATATCAGGATTCTTTTCCAAACTAAATGATTCTGCGATATGCAGGAGTCAGCGTTCATGAGCAGCTGTGCTCTGTGTGTTCCCCCACTCCCACTCAGGAGACCCCAGTCCCAGCCCAGGATCCACACGGGCCTCCCAGCTGCCCCAGTGCAGTATTGCTGCAACACCCTTTTCTGGGGCCCCATGGGGAAACTGGCTTGGGGGGCTTCAGCTGCACCCAACACCTCCATTTCACTGTCTGAAGGAAGCCAATATAAAACAGGTGCAGTGTGTGCACCAAAAAACATCCTTTATGGCAAGGTAAAACCAGTACCAGACTGCTGACTAATTCTCTTCATTTCTTATTTGTAGGACTGCACCACTGCTGTTCTCTGCCGAAGAAGCTCCTCATCCCAAGCAAGGGCCAGCAGAGCCCTCTCTGCTCACAGTCACTGAAGGAGAGCTGGTAGGCAGGTGTCTTCAACCCCTCCCAAAGGCTGTACTGGCCAGTTGCTTCTCTGACTCCTACACACCACAGCCTTTCCTTCCAGCAAGGAGTGATTTGCCACCAATAGGTTTCCTTTTCTTTTTTCATCTCTCTTCCTCCTTCTGTCCTGAAGAGGTACAGACTCCACAGGCACTGTTCCCTCATCTCTGCCTTCCCTTGGCAGTGTCTTAGCCCTGCCTGCAGGAACAGGCTGTATTTCTCCCTGTCCTGGTTAGATTAATTATTTCCAGTCCCTTGCTTGAAAACTTTTGCCCTGCCAACTCAGCCAGGTGCTGGGACGCTCGTTGGTCCTATCCTTGAGCAATCCATTACTTGCTCCCTGTCTTGCCCCCTCGGATCCATCCAGATCCCCAGGGAGGTGTAGGATATATTAACAGTGATCCTCTTTGGCATCAAGCTGGCTCGAAACCCACTGGTGTTTCAGAAAATCCTAGAAGGGTTTGTAGTTCAAGGGACCTTAAAGATCATCTAGTTCCATCCCCTGCCATGGGCAAGAACACGTTCCACTGGACCAGGTTACTCCAAGCCCCATCCAGCCTGGCCCTGAACATTGCCAGGGAGAGTTTGAGAGCTCATAGCCCCCTTTGAATAGGCTTTGCAAGTTGGGGATCAGGAGGGAAGCAGGCAGAGCTGCCAGAATTTAAACAAACCATTAAAAACCCCAAGCATACAGCCCTTTCAGTGTGAAAAGAAGAAAATAGTTTACATGCATTAGCCAGAGGTTCTTACAGCCAGGGAAAAAACCAAACACAAATTAAAATTACCAGGAGAATATTCTAAAGTAGGAGAAAAAAGGTGTTAAGGGTGTAAATGTCTGTCTACAGACAAAAGTTCTTCAAGGAATCTTGTTCTCTCACCAGCAGAAAACCAGGTGAGGAGTTTGCTCCTGCAAACACAAAATTATTTGGGTTCTCAGAGGTTCACTCTCAGTGCTAGTCTCAAAGCCCATGACAACGGGCAGGTAGGTGACACAGATGAGACAGATCAGCTGGAAGACAGGCTGGACTGGGGTGTGAGGTGTCTAAAAACATTAGTGTCACCTTTGCTTGCTGGGCTGAGCTGTGAGAAAGGCCGGGGTGGTGGATCCATCTCTTTCCATCAGTTGCATGGGGAAAGGACAATAAATAAATGTACAAACAACACCAAGTCAGTAAAGGTACAGTACTCTACCTTCTTACTTGCTCTGTACAGACATCTATTGATTCAGTTGGATTAGACTTTGGGGTTGTGTTGGTTTTCTTCCTGTGCTGCTTCTACAAGCTTACCCTGAAAGGGAGAGACTCACTGCCTTAGTGGCTCCCTGCAGTTTATTATCAGTGCTCTGCCTTTTAAACACAGGTCTTCTCAGTAGGGAACACGGTGCTTCTCTTCTGCACTTTCCTACTTAAGCTGGTGTCCTACCCCCTTCCCTTGGGATGGTACAACTGCACTGATAAGAAATGTGGGGGGTTGCCCTTTACAAGAAGACTCTTCACTGAGTCCTTTTATACAGAAGAGGCTGAAGTTCAGGTGAGAAAGTTGAATTTTTTGTTAGTCCCACCCCCACTCCTTGTTAATTTTGCATAGGAAATTTTGCAGGGTGGCATCTTTTCCCTTCAGCCTTCCTCAGGTTGCACCACTTGCAGCCATAGGAGCATTAGGTGCTGCTGTTGCAGGAAAAGGCACAAATGGAGAAAATTGCCCATGGCTAAGTTCTCCCACTGCCTGTTGATCCCAAGCACAACCCACCGGGCCCACCAGCTCCTGCCATGCAGCTGAATCTCTGCCTGCTCCGTTTCACGCTGGAGTTTGATCTTAAGTGCCAGTGAAAGGTCAAGGTGGCCTGTGCAGGTGTGGGATATGCACTGCCCATGAGGTCTGGCCAGCACTGTCTGTACCTCTTCCTTGGCTTTCCAGCTGCTGCCAGATGGGTGAGTGATGTAGTAAATCAGCTGTCACTTAGCAACGTGCCAGCTGGGGAGCCGCGGTGGGGTTTGGTGCGGGAGTGATGCCTGCAAGACTGTGCAGTGGAGGTTATTTCACCTTTTTTCCCCTCAGCGTTTTCCAACCCGGCCTGTATTTTCTTTTCCTTGCTGCTTTCCCTGATATGTGGGTGCAAATTTCCCATGGGTGAAGGCAACTACCCCAGCTGCAGGATCCAGGTGTTCCCTGCCAGCCCTCCCTGGGATTGCTGTGCAACGCTGGAACACCCCAAGAGCTGCAGCCAATCCGGGCTCCAACCCAGCCCATGGTGGCAAGCAGCCATCTGCCATCTGCAGAGCTGGTACAGCGGGACAGAGAGAGGGCAGAAGGATGATTGGTTTGGGTTTATTCTCTCAGGAAGAAAAATGGAGAAACACAGTGACTTGCCTACCCTGACACAGGGAGCTCACATCAGCACTGCAAAATCCTTGCCTGTAGGACTTGAGAAGTGAGGCTAGACCTGTTAAGCACACCTGAAACATCACTCGTGATTCACACCAATGGTATATCTGCACATGGATCTGTCTGGTTCTTCCACCTCTGGACAGTCGGGCCCCACAAGCAGTGGGGCTGTCCAGCAGAAGGCTGTGTTTGCTGGGGTGAGGGATGGAGACGACTCGGTTCTCCTGGCACTGCCCCTCACCTTATCCATCCTCTTGGGCTTGGGAAGAGGAAGGGAAACCTTCCAGCTTAATGCTTTTTAAACTGGCAGTCTGGAAACTCTTTAAAAGAACCCAAATATGTTAGAGAAAAGGGCAATTAGAGGGGCTTAAATGATTTGTGAATCTACCCTGGCACGTTTTAGAGCCTTTTCTGTACAGGGCTAAGAAGTCGGTTCAGTTCTACTCCCCACATGCCAGTCATGTATCTCTAAGAAATATTTGTAATGCAACAATGCCCTTAAAAAAACCAAAAACCAAACCAAAAAATCAACCAACCAAAAAGCAACAAAACCCCCCTATACCCAAAAAACCAAAGGCCTTTCCTTGAGAACTAAGCAGCAAAAGATCTTGAATTAGGGAACTGCTCACTTGGTGGCCCAGTTGGAATAAACCCCCTGGTTCCCACAAAAGCAGATTTTTAATTTACACCCATTTTTGAGATGTAACCTGAATGTATCTAACCAAAACTCAGGGCTGTAAATTCAGCCCCTGGGAGGGAAAAGAAGTCAGCCTGAACTGGCAGATTGGGCCAGGCTGAACCAGCCCAGCTGAACCAGTTTGCTCATGGAGGAATGGCACAGGACAGTAACTGGAAGCACTGGGGGCAGCTGTTGTGGCGTGAGCCTGGTTGAGCTGGAGGGAGTGCCAAACCCTGAGGCCACATGGGATGAGACAGCCTGTCCCAAAGGGAGAAATCTTCTGTTTTGATGACCCAAGGCAGGAGCAGACACTCAAACAAGGAAGAAGTAAGCAAGGCTGAGGAGCAGCTGAAAGAGGTGGCCTATAACCAGGGTCTAAAAATTCCTGACTAGCCTGGAGAGTTTTTCTCAGGGCTTCATCACATCCTGGAGGAAGATGCCAAAGGGTGCCATGGGATAAAGCTCCTGGAGATGTGTCGAGGTTGTGGACCCAACAACCTGGTGTTGTGGCCTCTGCAAACTGATCCCAAATTCTGTGCAGTGCTTCTGGAACGCTGGATTGACATTTCAAGGTGCTTCCAGGGGAAGGGCAGCTTGGTAGCAGATTTCTCTTGTGCCCCTATTCAGCAGCTGAACACTGGCCACAGACACAGTTAGCTCTGCAGACCTTTCAGTGTCTGTGATCCTGAGGTTACAGCTCAGCCGTGCAGGACGGATCGATCGGCAC